GAAATTGAAAAAAAAACATCACTTAAAAGCGTGAAGATATACTGACTGCATTTTGTGTTTAGGTACATAATATGTAAAAAGGATTTATGAGTGTTAGACCGTACACATTTCAAACATTAAACCTAATGGCTCTATTAGTAAAAGATGGATTGGAAGATTACAAGATAAAAAAAAATGATAGAAAAAACAACAAATTTCGAATTTATTCTTCTTAAAATAGCGATAAAAGTGAGCAGAAAAAAATTGTTTAACGACGTGGAAAATTTATCAAAGTTTTTCTTATTCTATTGGGTTATTCTTAGACTTACCTAAGTCTATACATGATTGTTGATTTTTATAATAGGATCGGGATGAAATGAAATTATAAACGGATTTTTTTAAAATATAATTGGGGATTATAAAAACAATTTGTATTTATGCACAATTTTATGTAACAAACTCGTAATGAGCTTATTGAGTGGCTATTTCTTTAAAAACAAAGATTTCTTCATATGCAAAATTTTCAAAATGTGACTTGGTTTACATTTACGGTACCACTTTTATTGGGAAATCAAATATCTTTAATTGATAAAATAATAATTTGTGTTCGCCACAGTAGAGAACGTAACCTACTTGCAAGTAAATAAGTATTTTTAAAGTTTAGAAGATTTGACGATTTAAAAACATTAAATTCAATTTAATTGTAGTACGAGTATAACTGTTAAAGAGAAAAAAGTAAACAGCCAACAGTGAGGCAACATGTAATACTTCAAGTGATCTGAAAATGTTAGAAAAAATCTAATAAAGGCTAATAAATTGGCGAAATTTTTCAAGATTTCAAATTCTTAATGTGAGGTACTGAAATTTTTAATAAATTTTTCAAAGTCTCAGAAAGTATGGAAATCAATCAAAATTTTTGTGCTTATTATGTAAGTACTAGGTATGTGCCCGTGTAATTGAAGATTGTATACGTTTTACACATTTGTAGACTGCTGTTGATTTTTAAGCTCCTTTGGTCATCTATCTATGCCTCAATATATTCGATTATTCTTTTGATTTTTTTTTTGTAATTTGCTTTTAAAAAATGTTCAAACAGTAGGTTTCAGATTGTTCGAGTACACAATTTTGAATCCATTTAAATATTTATTTTTAGATATTTTGCGGTGCTATCAAATTGAATTTTTTTTATTTGTGAACACAATTGAAAAATTTAAACCTCGTTAAAATAAAAAGTTCAACTTATTAATGGTTTTTATTTATAGTAGCTATATGAAAATTTATTTTTATAGAATTGCGGTTTTTGATTTTGTTTTACAATTTTATAGAAAATTAATTAACAAGTTCTATGTACGATATTTGAATAGTGAAGTTGAACTCAACATTTTTTTGAATTTAATAAATTTGAATACCTACACTCTTGTTTTTAAAAACTTATTCCCACAATAATCGAAAGTCATAATATTTAAGTGATTTAAAGAATTTTAAACTTTTCCATTTAGAATAAAATTTTTTAACAAATTTGAGGACTCAACTCTGTGATACCCGTACAAATAAATAATTTTAAATATCGGAGATAAATGATTCATAGCTTCACACAATCACTTTTTATATGTGGTGCTATTTTATACATATATATGGCAGTTACCCCATCAACCCACACAATCTAAAAGAGTTTAATTGAAAATAATGGTCATATCACTAAATTCTTTTTTTTTTAAATTTTAGCTTTGCAGCTTCAATAGTTTCCGGGCTATGATGAACAGCTGATGAAATTGTATATTGTAAAATTTGAACGAATTTTATCAAACAACAATATATTTGCCTAACAATATATTTGCCTGTGTAAATTTTCAAAACCATGCGGTGAGTAATTTCTGAAAATAACTTTTGAAGTTTTACGTTAGCTTTCACAAACGCTCCTGACACCTTAACAACTTTAACAAATATCTCTGTCATTTTACCATATTTGTTTTTGCAAAATTTCAGATATAGCCAAATAACTTTTCAAGTTGTATGGCTGCTACCAGAAGAAGCCAAACTGTTTCAACGGCTACTAATAATTTTATCAAATGCAATAGCCCTAATAATATATTTCTTGTGTGAAATTCCAATTCCATAGCTTTTACAATTTCTGATATAGATCTTAGAAAATAATTTCTTAGCGTTACAAACAGTAAGGCAAATTTAGTATACCCTTCGATCATACGTTTGTACGTGTATTAATATGCAACTAAAAGTGATAAAAATGTTAAATGGTACTTTATTACATAACAAAGTCAATTTAAAGAAAAATTCAAGGCCAAATGCCTTAATCTAAGCTTCTTTTGTTTAACTTACAAATTGTGCTGTTTTAAATGTTATCTTTGAGTGTTTTACAAGCAGAAATAACAATTTGGTTGAATTGATCAAAAGATTAATAAACAATAAAAATAGAAAATGTTATAAAATTGTAATAAAAAAAGCCATGGCTGTTGTAGTTTTTCTTCTTTGATAAAATTTTAAAAAATTTTATTAAAGCTGGGTAGTTTTAAGCCAGTTACTATTTAACAATATTATGTTGTGCTTGTAAGCGGCAGTAGATAAGAGATTATTTTCATATGTATATATATTCAATAATACTATGCAGGTTTGTCTGGTAATTTATATATGATTGAAAGCGTGTGAACAAGTTATAATAGTACATGTGAAGACATACCAAAATTCAAAGCTTTTTGAACGTTTAAATAGACACGTTTTATGTAAACGCACCTACGGATCAAAAAAAGTAAATACAGGTCAAACGTGGATTTTGTTTTAGGAAGCAAATAAGTGCCTGCATATGGACATATCGTTCTGATTAAGATACATGAAAACCTGTTGCACACTAATAATTCCATTCTAATCGTGTTAATATTGATCATAGAAAATTGTACTAGTGTTCACTAAGCATTTACACGTGCCATATTGTTCAGTATACTTATCAAGAAACCGAAAAATATTCTAAAAAATATTCCCAATCTTCATTTTTTTAAAGACCCAAAAAATCTAATAAATTTTAATGAAAATGAAAATTATTTACGTAATTAAATCAAAATATTTTATGTTTCATTTGAAAAATGATCTTTTTAATATGTTTACATAATTTCAGTAATTATACGTTCCACACCAAAATTTATTTTTTAAGATTATGGTGTGTACATAAATAAAAATTTAAAAAAAAAAAATCCAAAAACGTGTAATAATTGTTTATAAATTCTAGATAATAAAAAAGCAAACAAAAGCAAAAATTGGTTCTTATAATATGGTGCAAATTCTGTTTAAAATTATAGTATGAATTATTATTCTTCGTTACAACAAAAATCTAAGTATGGTAGTAATTAACAAAGTTTCCAGGCAACGCTTACACGAACACTTAAATCGGAATTGCCGTTACTGATGTAGTTATCTATATTCATTTTAATGAATTATTGTTATCATAGGGTTCAAAAAATTTTTGGCTATGCGGTACTCAACTACATTCTGCCATAAATTGATGCTTTTTAATTAATATAAATACAATAAATTGACCACAAATTGGAGGCGTGCCCTACAAACAGGATCTATTGTGTTCGGTTTCCAATAGAAGCATTAAATTGAAGTTGCAAAAGATTGATATATAGAGAAAATCTATAAAAAGAAGTTAGAATCCAGTACAATTTGAATTTTCACTGCGGTACTATTCGCAAATAAGTACAAGTGTGTAAAAGGTTAAAATACAAGCTGTACTCTTATTTATAATTATTCGAATTTATTCAAATATTTGCATTCTTAGATTACATAATTACGTCAAAATATTAAAAGTGAACTTATCACGCAAATAATCAAGTTTTTTTTATATTTTAAAAGTGTACATAAAGAAAATTACAAGGTCGTCCTGCTTACTTTCAGATTCTCTTAACATTTTCATTATTATTAATCAATGTTGTGAAAGTTTTAGAGATCTGCGCCTATAAAAATAAAATTTAAGAAGCAAAAAAAAAGTCATTGAAAATTTGTTACATTTCAGACCGGTTAAATATTTTGAATACAAAGCAAAAAGGAAATCAGAAATAATAAAAAAGAAATAAGAAAAACAAAGGGAAATTTTAGCGATTTTTTTTATTGCCCTACCAAAATTAAGAGCTTTGAAGAGGTGCAGCATGATTCACCTTTGTTCACAGTTACCTACAGACCCAAATCAAAAAAAAAATTGTATCATTTTAAATGCGTTCATCAATTCTTTATGTGAAATAATAAAATTAAAATCATTAAATTGTTTTTTTAACACAACAGCCAATTTGCGTTAAATAAGAATAAAAAGTATACGTCACTTATGACCTTATTTGAGTACACATTAAGAGTTTTATGAGATATCAGTTTTGTCTTGCTCTTAAGATCCCATAATTGCTGTCTTTTTTTATCTATCGAGTTAAGTGAACGAAACCATAAATTTTTTGTAATAAAAGAATTTTGATATATGTTAGTTAATAATGTCTCAGACTGTCACAAATCATTATACCCCTGTATTTCTTTGGACGCATCACATGATATATGATTTAACAATAATACTATGATGTACGCCTACAACATTGATTTTATTTTAAAATCTGTAATCATGTTCATCATCAGAAAACACGGATGATGATCTAATAATTAAACATCTTTAAAGCACTGCAATAAAATTCTGAAATCTGCGTTTAAATTGCGAATTCCTTTCTGATATTCTGAATATACAATAAACTAATTGCAGTTATTTAATAAAAATATTCTTAACATTAAATTGATCTTTTACCTTAATATCAGTATTTTATAATGGGAATACTTCACGCGACGAGATATAGATTTCCTAAGTACAAGTATATTGAAATATTAAACGTATAGCTTAAACATTTTATTTAATCAGCGTAATTAACGCGTGAAATGCTTATGCAACCCTTATATGAATATACCATATACTTATAAATAAATTCCATAAATAAAATGTGGAAAAAAATTATTACAAGAAAAATGAAAAAAAAACTTACATCATTAAAAAATAATTTTCGAAATTCTTCACGTGAATGTTTTCGTTCACCAAAGAATGCATTACATTCCGATATTAATAACCATCGTACTTTATCACGTCTTGCTTCCAATTCCATTGCACTACAATTTGGATCCGGTTTTAAATTATATTGTTCTAAATAATTTAAAAATTTATTTTCATTATTTATTGAAATATTTTCAATTCCATTTGTTCCCGATGCTGATACTGTTGAAGATGTAGATGCTGATTTTGGTGTTGTTGGTTTTGTTAAATCAATAGTAACAAAACTATCATTTGATAATTTTACATCTAATTTTAATTTTTCTAAAGGTTCATTATCCTTTTTTGTTGATGTGGTATTAGTATCACCTGGACCATATTCAAAACCTTGATTTTCTATACCATCTTTATCATTATTTTTTGTTTTAATTTTATTATTACTACTATTATTATCAAAATCTTTAACTAATTGAATTTTTTCATTTTGTATGAAATCATTTAATGAAATTCTTGGTGGACTTTCTGGTATATCAGCTAAATCATGTTGTTTTGTTGAAACATTTGATGCACGTCTTTGAATCGGAGCAGATTCAATATTTAATGTTGAAGATTTTGAATTATTATCAGATTGTGTTGAAGTTGTATGTAAATTTTCTAAATAACTTTTTGTAATATCCGAAATATGTTCTATTGGTGATAATAATAATTCATCTTTTGTTGGATTCGTTGCTGTATCATGTGTTAAATCAATTGATGGATGATGTGGTGTTGGACGATTTGGTATTGTATCAGATGAAAATGATACTCTTTTACGTGCTGGTGGTATAGGTGGTTCTTCAGATATATTTGATGATGATGTTGAAGCTTCTGAACCACGACGTTTACCGTGTGGTGGATCCATAATTATTTTGTTACTTTTTTTTTTTTGATATTTGTGTATTATTTTTTCTTTGAATATTTTTTCATTTATGTAAATTTAATAAATTTTTGTTTTTTTTTTTTTAATTTTAATAACTTTTATTTAAATTTTTATATTTTTCTTGATCGTATATTACGATATCACTTTAGAAATCACTACTATATATTTTGTGTAGTAATTTTTTATTTTTTCACTCTTGGGTTGATAAACCGGTTTAACACTATTTATTGTACTGAAACTCAAAAGGTATTAAACTTGTCTTTAAAATACTTTTCTTTTTTTTTTCTTTACAAAATAAATATTAACATTTTTTGTGTTGATCCACGAATATTGTGTATGATTACAAAATTATTTTGAAAGAAATATGAATTTTATGAATTTATAATAAATTTTTTTTTTTTACTAACTACACTAAGTGAATCACTTAAAAGCACACACGTTTTTTTAAAACAACAAAACCACCACTAAAAAATATTTAAAAATATGGGGAAAATGAAATTCATATTAATGTAGGTTTTTTTTTTTTGCTTTTTCAAATCAAAATATAAACTTGAACAATAAAAGAATAAATTATTAAATAATTTTATTTAAATTAAACACAATAATATTATTATCATTCAAACTAATCATAAATATTTAACAAAATAAATCAAGAAAAATAAAAAAATTCCCCCAATATAATCAAACATGAAATTAAAATTCCTCAGGAACCGCACATAAAGAAAAAAATTTTTTTCTTTTTTTGTTTAATTTTAAAAGGGTGCAACCTAGTTATAAAAATTTTAGAATCAACAATGTATTTATGTACCTACATAAATATGTGTGTATGTACGAACGCGCAAAATTATGAAAAATTACCGACGCGTCGTCGTATTATCGCGAAAACAAAAACGAAAAAAATTTTGTTGCGCGCGATTATCCGCAAATGAACCTGTTTCACTTTTTACTTGTTTTCCAATTAATAATTAAAGTCAAAATATTTTTACCCGTATTCAATACAAGAATATTTAAAAGGAATCAATCGTTCACGACGAAGGAAGATTACAAACTGATCATTTAAAAGCAAAAGTAAAGTTAAGTAATTCCTTTGCTACTTACCAAAGCTTAAAAATTAACAAAAACAAAATATCTTAAAATTTGTGATGATTTTTTGTGTTTGTTTTTTTTCTGTTTTTTTTTTGTGAAGATCTTCATTTCGCTACAACACCTTTATAAAAAACGAAACAGAAAAACACTTTTTATTGATCAAACATAACACAACAATTGAATCAAACATGATTTGTATGAAACGAACAAAACAAATATTCCAATTTTATTTTGTTTCTCTTTCCAGTCTTATTTTATTTGTATACTTTATCTATAAAATGTAAGTGATTAAAATTTTATGCTCTAGTATACAAGATAAATTCCAAGTCGAGGCATTATGAAAAATTGTAAAACTTTAAAATAGTCTTTAAACCTTATGATCGTATTATTAAATAATTTTCCAGGTTGTAATCAAACATTGGAGCACTGTTGACTTGATTGGTTAATAAATGTTAGAAATTGTTCATTAAAATCATAAATTTTATAATGTTGTAATGTAGATTATATCTAAAGACGCCGGTTAAGTATATAAAGTTATGTTTATTTTCATTGTTTTAAATAACAAAATAAATTTTTTGATAAAAATGTATACTGGTTTCTTTTGTATTCTTTTTGTTTGACACACAATTATTTTTTTGTTTGATTTTTTATTTGTTCGAAATATAAGAAGAAAGAAGGGTTTCATTTGGTCATAAACCAGCATGTGATCTAAAATTTAAATTTAACGTTAATTAAATGCTAATATGGATAATTAGGAAAAAATATTTAGAAGGTTGCAATGAAGAAACGAAAAATTGAAAAAAATTTCAAAGATTAATTGGGTTCTTAATAGATTTCTGAGAAGAAAATGGAGAAATAATATTATGTGCCTATTATTTTTATTTGTTTGTTCGTTCTTTCAATCGGGAAAAGTTTCTTCATTTAAGAGTGAATTTTAAGTAAAAACTCAACTTTTGTAAACTACTAAAGGAAAATCTTTGAAAACATTCTCGATCATTCGGTAAGTCGCATCACTTGGCTGATGCGAAATATTATCGCGTACATTCAAGTTAACTTTCCTATTTTGAAAGAAATATGATTAAAGTTTTTGGTTTTTCGCTAGAATTTTCTATTGTCAATGACAAAATGTCATTTGTGTTTTTCCATATCCCAAGCACTATATTTTCACAATCCTTGTGTGATTTTAATCGGGTCCGACTGCATGTCGTTTGTTAAACTGAAATAATATAAAATGGAAATCGTATTAAAAGTATTACAGAATAACGAAGCGTCACTTAAGTGACTAAGGGCTGCATATATCTTTTTTTCGTTTTATACTATGTGTACCAATTAGCTCTGTTATAATTACTTCTTTAATTAGTTATTAGGAAAATTAAAGTAAAAGGTTTTCTTCATTAAGTTAGTCATGATTTCGTCCAGAAATATAAATAAAACTATTTTAGTCAAAATTCAATTTAAATTATAATTCATTAGAGTCATTATTATAATCTTAAAGATTTTAAAACATTTTCTAAAACATGGTACTTGTAGTTGTACTACAAGTTCATTAAAATAGTTGCATAAATTTTAATTTAGGCATTAAAATTCATGTTTAAAAATCAACTCAATGAATGTATAAAAACACGTTTAAAACCAAGAAAAATTACTGCGATAAAATTATAGTGTAACAAAAGTAATTGTTTTTAATAATTGCCTTCATATCTTACTCAAATTGCTACAATTTAATAAAAATTTTATTTTCAAATGAAAATATTTGCAATTATGTTTGTACTTTGTTTCTCTTCTCTCAAATCTTTTTCTATTCTTACATAATTTAATCCTTTAATTTTATTTCAATAGAAACTTATAACCATATACAAAATTAGATTTTATTGAAAACACACTAATGATGTTGAATCACGAGGACGACGACATGGTCATGATATTTATATTATCCGCGTCTGTTGTAGATTTGAAAACAAAAAACCAGAACATTTAAGGTTTGAAGAAAAACAACCGCTAAATATTTATTATAAGAATATGTAGAAGAAAGGCAAAAAGATTAACAAGGTAAATTGCATTCTCTCGCGCAATGAATATTCATAGATTGGATGATAATTAGTGCCAGAGTAAAACGATTTGAATTGTTTCAGAAAACGCGATGTCGTGAAAATTTGTGATTTTTTATTAGTGATTTTCTTCTTTTATAAAAATTTTAATTAAATTAAATTGCATTGCAAACATACAGAGGGCCATTCATTAAAATTTCACTTTAATTTCTTTTTACATTGAAAATTTTTATCTTAAATAACATTACATGTTAACAAAACATAAAAATTATATTATAAAGGATTTAGTTAGGACATTTACCTTGTTAAAATTAATTGAAGTTGTGATTGGGTTCTTTTTTTTTAAAAAAAAAAATCATTTTATTGGAATGTAATTATTTTTAAACTGTTTATTTTTATTTGAATTATTGAAATTTATATTGGATGTTTGCGTGTTAAGAACATAATGTAAAAAAATATTTTTTCTAAATTGGCAAATTAAATAAAGGTAAATGTAATACAATTATTTTAAGTACTTTTAAAGTAAATTTAGATTTAAAAGTTTGAATGAAAAATCATGAGGTTCGCAAAGTGTGAGAGCTCTAAGAATTTATGATTCAAAACATTGCAGAAGATCAAAGGTTCCACGGATTTATAAGATTTCTGCTGTTCGAGTATATAAGGAATATTAGAGTATGTGGAAACGGAACATTGTGCTGAACTCCCAAACATTTTAAAAAATTAAAATTTTTGCTGTTAAAAGGATTTTTTTAAGAATTTCAGCTTTTATGGAATGAAAAATCTCTTTCATACTCCTTTATCGTTAAAGCATTGACTATACTACCCTATATACGAAATTGTGTTAGGGTAAAAGTTTTAGTGATACAGCCAAATTGCTTCTGAAACTACTATTTTAATTGCATTTAATACTTTTAAATTTTGCTAAAATAAGCAAATTTTGTTAAAATTTTTCAGTGGAATAAACAGATGAACGAATATCACACATAGCTGAATCAACATAGAATCGAACGTTTTTTATAAATACTCGTATATGTTTTGTACATTGCAAATCGAATACTAAAATTATATTAACCTGTTGGCCAATAAGAAAGCTCCAATTCATCTCCAAATACGTATCTAAATTTCATTGCATTAATAAATTTAATTTTAATGGCTTAAATTTTTTGCACAATAATCATTTTACTTTTGTCAAAAAATATTTTCAATCCTGTAAAAATAAAATCCTAAAATTATTCATGCATTCAAATTAAATACGATATTTTCAATGATAATCATAGGTTTTTATTCCTCTATTAAATTCCATATTATTTTATAGTTTTTACAAAATTGAAATTTAAAACTAATGAACCATGTCTAAGTACTCCATAAATTGGTAAAAATTTTGTAATCTAATTTTAAATTTGAAATGAAATGGTCCATAAATCTGAATTTTTTCTATTTTTTTTTTATTATCAATATTTCAAAAATATTATATTTAAAGTATTATAATCGCAAAAACAATAATGATTTCCCTACGTGCGTGTGTATGTTTGCACTACGTATGAATATTTGTACTATTACATTCACTGTATAAAACTCGAATAAAACAATTATTTATTAACGTTATTATTAAAAATAACTAAAAATACAAGTTAACTAAGATAATAATTAGAAATAAATTTATAGTATTTATGCATTTAATGCAAAGCATTTAGGAACAGCGAGATTAGTTTCACCGAAATGCGCTTGTAATATAAAATAAAATAGAAGACAAACTCTTGAATGTTAAGTATAAATGTACATATGTTTAAATTTTAAACCAAAATTTTGGTTTCCTGGAGTGCTTAACTCTTAAATTAGAGTGAGTTTTATTCTATTTGTTATTTACGACATTGAAGAAACTGCATTTATGTCCACAGTTGTAATAAAATACTAGTTTCATATTCTATAACAAAACTGTTTATCGTTAATAATGTATTTTCATAAAAAAATAATAATGTCATGTACCTAGATCCTACAGTTAATATTTACGGTTTTTATGTTTTTTAAAAATTAATCTCCACCTGTTAAATTACTGCTCCTCCACCTGTTAAATTACTGCTCTTTCACCTGTTAAATTAGTGCTCCTTCAGCTGTAAAATTATTGCTGGAGTAAAGCTTAAATTCGATTTCAAAGTTAATATATACGAATAAGTCATAAGCTATAATTTTCAAAATCTTTAGTAAAATTGTTTTACGAGTCTGAATAATACAGCATTTTTCATTTTTTATAGCTTAGGAAGTATGACAGTGATAGCGTCGATTTGGTAATCCAATTTTAATGAAATTCTCT